TGGACCTTATCTCAATGCAAAAACCAACAACAACAATCGAGAGAGCTAAAACTGTGAAACCTTTGGCAGATTATTCCAAGTCAATTGAAGGGATATCAACACTTCGTACTGTTACGTTTCAATTAGAGCTATGAGTTAATTAAAAGATACAAGTGATTTTCTATTTACATGCTACACCATATAATCTTTGCTTTACTACTTATATATTAATATATATACACAGCAAAGAATTATCATACACGTGTATTTCACAGTGGCGCAACAGTTAAGCCAGGAACACACTTGGTCCACGCCATTGATAACGCTACTTCCAGTTTTCATTTAACTTCAAGCTAGAACCAATGCATACTATAATTTTACATATCACACTACTTCTAAGTCGAACAAATTTGATTCGAAGAATGTAATATATAACACGTCGAATCGACAAGTGTTCGTCGTAATTAAAAATCTTTTAAATAAGGCTGGTATCCTAGCCTAATGTCTAAAAAATATACAATTTCAATGTATCGTTAACATACCCTAATTTAATAGTACGGACGAGAAATTTCCCAAGTTTCTTTCGTTAATTTCCGTAAGGAACCATAACACACAACCTTTGGAAGTGTTTGAAAAATCTTCAAAATGGTACTTTATCGTATTCTGCACCTTTTTTTCCAGCACTGGTTTTCTTTTTTCTTTTCTATTTTCTTTTCTGGACTCAATAGTTACTCCGGCATACTAGAAGTTTCATAGTGACAAATTTAAAGTTGGAACGATCAGAAGATAGAAAAAGCCACGATTACCCTGCACGGCGTGATGTGGCGTGGAAGTAATGTGTTCACGAGTCAATATCCATAATTCCTTCCCAAAGGCTTCACTAATGTTCGAATGTATGATAGCGAAATGATGAAATTTCAGATTTAGATTCAGTAGATGCACACTACCAGTCAACCTATGTTGCGTATCAAAACATATATACAAATTTATATCAAATATTTACATTTTTTTTTTTAATTCTATGCGTTAATAAATTCTAGAAATTATTATCTTATCTAATTTATAATAATAGTACGATGAAAATGAACTAAATATTAAGAATTGACCAATATCAAATGTTATGTTCTTTTTCTCTTTTATGCTAACATTTTACATTCATTTATGGCACTGCTCGGATTTTATTTTATGTATGCCGTGTCCCCTTGATATTTTTTTTTTTGTACATTTGTAAAATGCGATTAGATGCTGATTAATATCCTTCATTTCGTAACTATAGTTTTGTTCTAATTAGTTAACTTTCTTTTCTCTCCTCTAAGAAACGCGAAGTAGGCAATGGAGGCAACACGATGAAACAGCATGTTGTAATTATATGTACGAAAATTTTCCTTGTTTGTTTCGTTGAACCGATTCTTTTTTGTGTCAAGTGACAAATGACAGATTTACAGGAAAACTATGTTTTCAATATAAAAATAAAATAATAAATTTAAAAATACTCTTATCTTTTATAAGCTTTTAAAGCTTTTGTAAATGTATACAATCATCACTTTTAACATATTTTTATTTCAAATAAAAACAAAAAAAAACAAAACAAAAAGAAGTTATTAGATAATCGATTGCAAAATATAAAATATAATTTAAAAAAAATAACAATAACTTGGAATTTTTTATACGGGATTCTTAACATCGCGCATTTCCTTCCCTCTTATTAAACTACTTTTAATACGAACTATCTCTTTCAATCCTAAATAAAAATCGCGAATAAAAAAGATATCACCGGATGAAAGAATAAATCGTCGCGTAAATGATTGCATGGACAGACAAGAATTATTCACGGCATAAAAAACGAGGAAGCAAAGCAGTGAATCGTATTCTTTTGAACAGTATTCTTCTGAATGCCTTTGATAAATATTTGCATTTGAAAATTTAAAAAAATTGCTATTGAGATATCGTTGTTTTATTATGAATCGATATTTAAAATATAGAAATATAATTTATAGTTATGTAATATTTAATGGTGTTGCAACACACCAATAGTACGAATATATAGAATAAAGAATGGGGATTCGCGTTGTGCACTATATTCTTTTTTCTATTTTTTCTTTCTTTTTTCTTTACTTAATTTACAGCACCACAATGGACGCACTGAGATGAAAATCATATCTCTCTTATCTTTTTAAACATTATGAAAATAAATATATGACTTTCCATTCTTTTTCTTTCTTCTTCTTCTTTTTTTTTTTTTTTTTTTTTTTTTTTTTTTTTTTTTTTTTTTTTTTTTTTTTT